AAACCTATATTGTTTATTTATATGCATCTTCAACAAAATATTAAGATAATTATCTTCTTTGGATTTAAATTGTTGGTGAATTTGGATACTAGTACTTGTGTTATTGCTTGAGGTTTGTTTTTTTTAATTAATTTCATTTAAAAATAGATTTTTTAATTATAAAAAGACAATGATATGATTTCACCTTCGGGCTTTAATCGGCCTAACCCGAACCCGGTCTATCAAAAACCTGACTCGGACCGAATATAATGGGCTTTGTTCCGGTCCTTAATTTTCATAACCCGAGACCTTCCGGATAATTTCCGGGTTTAGCGAAAACCCGACCCAGATCGGACCAATCCCACCCCTACATAGTCCCATTGCATGGGTAACCGGATTTTGTACCATGTATTTCCTTGCGCTGGTTTCTGCCTTTCTGGTCTCGGTTCAGAACTGCTAGGATTTTCACCAGTCTGGTACTCTGGTTACATTACACGCCTGGTTATGGTCCCATCTCACTTTGTAACTGGAACTAATATTATAATTTAGGGAAAACAGTCGATTTAGTACCTCAAGTTGCACTGTGTGGAGTAAAGAGTACCTGATCTTGAAAATCAAACGGATTGGTACATGATTTTGTCTAACCCGTGCAAGTGTGGTACCTCTGTTAGATGGCACCGTTACCTTTGCTGATGTGGCTAATGGTACATGTGATGTGTAAAAAAAAGCCACCTCATCTCTCCCAACTGCACCATTACTCGAGTAGCCCTAATGCTTACCATTCTTACGCTCTTCCTTCTTGTATTACGGACCGATGAAGTGAGAAGGTTAGCTGCGAAAAGCCAAAAGCGGAAGAATAACTACCATTTCAATAAAGGTATGATACTGTATCACAGGTGCATCATTTATGGCGTATGTTGTGTTCTGTATTATGTTTATTATGTTGAAGTTAATACCATTTGATAGGTGTGAGGTTAGATATGACTTCAATGCACATTGTGTATTTAAAAATTGATGGTATTATGAGTAAAGTGTTCTGAAAATGGTGAAACATATCAGTAAAGTGTTCTGAAAATGTTGAAATGTATGAGTAAAGTGTTGTGAGTAAAATAGATTAGAACATTGCCTTTTCACTTTAACTTATAGGATAGTTGACAGATATTTGTTTTCATGTCATTTAATTGTGGTTGGTGACTTGTTCTATGTAATTAATTTGCAATAGGTAATCCATGGATAATTATGACCAAAGAGGGACTCCAATTGCTGACTCACAAACTGGCAGTGCTACACACGTGCCTTATGCTGTTGATTTGGGATTTGAAGATCCCCTTTTTGAGGCAGAAGCTGGCCTTTTATTTGAAGATGAAGTAAACTCAGAAAATGAAGATGATGAAGAGTTACAACAAGGTCGAGTTCTATTGAGGAATCTAGTAAGAAAAGAAAGAGGTACTGGCAGAGCTAATGGGCAGAAATCTGGTAAAAGAAAGACAACTGAAGAAGGGTTGACTGAGGAAGAAGATGGCAGTGAAACTGAATATTTCAGTTCAAGTGATGAAGGGAGTTACAAATCCGGATCAGATCCTGAAGAAGAAGGGGTTGCTAGAACAAAATCTAGGTTCCCAAGTTTCATACCAACTGACAAGGTTGACTTCACATTGGGAATGAGCTTTGAGTCGAAGGGTGAAGTTAAAGATGCAGTGGACAAATATTCTGTGACTAACAGGTATCCCTTCTATGGGGCCAAAAATTGCTCAGACAAGCTTAGGGCCAAGTGTTCAAATTTGAACAAAACATGTAGTTGGGTGGCCTACTTTGGCATAGACAGTAGATGTAGCAGTAACAAGTGGGTCCTCAAAACATATCACAGTGACCACACTTGCAACCCGGGGTGGCAAATACCCAGTGCCACAGCCAAATGGTTAGTCAAGAATTTTTTCTCCTCAAAGCTCGGTGTTGCTGACATGAAGGTGGCTTCAATGAAAGAGATGGTAAAGAAGGAGCTGAATTGTGATGTTTCTCTTGAGCAAATGAGGAAGGCTAAATCTTTGATTAGAAAACTTGAAAAGGGAGACATAAAGGCTGAGTACAAAAGGTTGGATGATTATAGGGCTGAAATTCAAAGGTCAAACCAAGGAAATACTTGCATCCTCACTCTATTGCAGCCTAGCCCTATATTTGACAAGTTTTATGTGTGCTTCCATGCCTGCAAGAAGGGGTTTCTGGAGGGGTGCAGGAGACTCATAGGAATAGATGGGGCATTCTTGAAGTCTGAGGTTAAGGGTGAGATACTCACTGCAGTTGCAAGGGATGCAAACAATCAAATGTTCCCAATAGCGTGGGCTGTAGTTGCATCCGAGACCAAAGCCACTTGGAAGTGGTTTCTAGAAAACTTAAGAGATGATCTAAACATTGGAAGAGGGAATGGATGGGCTTTTGTTTCAGATCAACAAAAGGTAGTAGTATTGAATTTAACTTTTAGGTTCCACTCTTTAACTTTATGATAATTTACATTTAGGTTGCAGACTTCACTTTATAATAATTGAAGTTTAGGTTGCACACTTGAACTTTATGTTAACTTAACTTTAGGTTCCAGACATTATCTAACAGATAATTTAGCTTTAGGTTTCAGACTATAAGTTTTCTAAATTAAGTATAGGTTTCAGACTATAACAAAGAGGTAATTTAAGTTTAGGTTGCAGACTATATAACAAAGAGGTAATTTAACTTTAGGTTGAGACTTTAACTTTAATTTGATAATTACAGTTTAGGTTCCAGACTATATAAGAAAGAGGTAATTTAACTTTAGGTTGCAGACTTTAAGTATATGATAGTTTAGTTTTTAGGTTCCAGACTATAACTTTATCATAACTTTTAGACTCCAACCAATATCTTAATGTATAATAATTTACATTTCATTACAGGGTTTACTCCCAGCATTATATGAGACATTGCCAGAGGTTGAACACAGAAGATGTGCTAGGCACTTATATGCTATTTGGAGAAGAACTCATCCTGGTCTGGAGCTACAAAGGCAGTTTTGGAAGTGCTGCAAATTTGCCTCTAAAAGAGAATTTGACCAGAACCTTGAGGTACTTAAAGCTCTTTCTCCAACTGGTCATGAAGATATTCTGAAGGTTGACCCTAAATTTTGGTGTAGAGCTTTCTTCAATAGGGATATAAAATGTGAAACTGTTGATAACAATCTATGTGAGGCTTTTAATGGGGTCATAGTTCCTGCTAGATCTTTGTTTGGGTATACGCAGTTGGAGTACATAAGAAAGTTGGTGATGCAGAGGCTTATTAAGAACAAGAACCTAGGTGACAAATGGGTTGGAGATTTAGGTCCTAGAATAAGGAGAAGGATAAATAAATTTGTTCAGTCAAGTAATATATGGAGAGTGTTATTTAATGGTTCTGATGGATATGAGGTCTCTTGTGGGTCAGACACCTATCTAGTTGATTTGGAGAACAGAAGGTGTTTGTGTGAGCAATGGGATGTGTCTGGAATCCCTTGCAAACACGCCATATGTGCCATTAGGGATAAAGGCCATAGAATAGAAGATTATGTATGTACGTGGTATAAGAAACACATGTACTTGCATACTTATGCTGAGATGATGACACCTATTGTTGGGCCTCTTTTCTAGCCTCAAACAAATGTTGAAGTGTTGCCTGCTGAGTTGAAAAAAAAAAATGGGGAGGCCAAGAAAAAATAGAATCAAAGAAATAGGTGAGATCCCTAGGAGTGGAAAGTTACCAAAAAGAGGAACAAGCATTACATGTCAGTTGTGTTTCAAAAAAGGGCATAACAAAAAAGGATGTCCCTCCAAAGACCAAATCTTGCAAGGGGATACAACATTCCCTATTGACCTACAAGGTGGAAGTGGTACTTCAAAGAATCCAAAAAGATGTGTTGTATGCTCCCAAACAGGACACTCCCAGAACAAGTGCCCCATGAAGAATAACTCTAACCAGGTAAATTGGATCAATGTGATGTGTTTATGTAAAAGTGTGTTTGATGTTAGAATACTACATTTAAAAAAGGATTAAGTGGTATTTTTTTGCAGGCAAGTGAAGAAAGGGGTTCCGGACCTCCCCAGGAGAGTAATGTTGATGATACTACTTTGCATGCATACTTTAGTGAAAATGCAGATAGGGATGACAGACCAACCGATAATGTGTTTCAGTGGAGGGGCCAAAACTCAATTACGTCTGGTGGTCTGGAGGTATATAACCCATTAAAGTGGTATTTGGTTTTATGTTATTACAGACAATGTACTTTAGTTAGTAAAATGCTACATTCCTTATTATTTTTTATTTCTTTTCTTTTATCAGAGAGTGCGGGATAGGAACCACAAGGAGCACAAAGAGAAGGTCATGATTTCAAGAAAAAGAAATGCTAGTTCATTGAGTGCTACCGGGGTGTCCACAACGGCTAGAGAGAGATTCAACACTTTGTTTGACAGCATGGAAGAAGGCTCTGAAGTCTAGTGTAGTTGATGATACCTGCAAAATGTTAATGCATGGTTATTCTTGTATATAAGTCTTCCTTTTGTTTAAACTATCTCCCTTCACTTGGTTTTTTTTGACACACTTGTGGTGTGTGGGAGCAGAAGGCTAGTGTGTGGGGTTTGGTGTTTACACATTTCTACCTACTCCCTTTTTGCCCTAATATGTCTGGGGTGTGGTGTCTATGCTTTTGCGTACTTGATGTATGTTTTGAAGTACTGATAATGTGCTACTGGTGATAAATGTTATTAAATGATGTGTAAAAGCATTAATTAAGCATGTAGAAAACTGCTTGTGTTCATTTCTGGAGGTGTTAGTTTGGGAGTTTCAGTTTGCAGCCAATGTTCATATATATTGCAGCCATTCGTATTAAGTTCACTTCCTATCTGGGTAATTTCAATGCTTATCTGGGTACTTTCAATGCTTTAATGGTAATGAACTAAAGTATGGCCTTGCTCCAAGACTCATCTGTGCATAAATTGTGTTCATCATTAATCGGGTACAAATCTAAATGGCATTCAAAACACAAACTACATAACCATAATTCATTAATGATTCACATCAATTTAAAGTGATTAACATCAAGTCATACATCATTAACCAAATTTCAAACTTAAATGGCATTCAAGAGCCATACTAAATAAGCAGTACAAGGTCTTCTAAGAACTGAGCATAAACCCGTACAAGTTTACAACATAAAACTAAGGATTACATGTCTTCTAACTAGAAACACATGCAAACTAGGAACATGGATTACAATTGATCATAAACCACTACAGGTCTTCTAAGACCTTCTTCTTTTCATTGCCAAAACATATCACCAACACCAGTATCAGCACAATTCCTCCTATGATAAACCATTTCACAGGCCACATCTTCAATTCTGTTTATTCTTGACTGCTTGTGCCTCATCAACCATAGCCTGTAGCTTGTTTATTTTCCTCAAAAGACCTGGTATAATGAGCTTGGACCTTGCACACATTTCAGGATCAATCCATTCAAACAGGTTGCAGCAGCCACCTATACTCTATTTTGAGTAATAACATTGGAGAAAAATCAATCAAAATTCTAAAAAAAAACTGAAACTATAATCATTGTTATACCCTTACTCTTGAGCATGCAATGAACCGTCTCCCTAGATTGTCATCTGTCCAGGACGTCATCAGTTTCACAGGCATCCCACATCCACACTTTCCATAAGCCATCTCGGTTGCACCCAAATTATCTTTGGAATTCGATTAAAGAAATAAATCAGTACAAGAACAAGTTTTGTTTTTGTACAAAGAATCAACGCTCAAGTACGATTCAATGCTACATAAGTACTCATTAAGCACGGGTTAGACGAAATCATGTACCAACCCGTTTGATTTTCAAGATCAGGTACTCTTTACTCCACACGGTGCAACTTGAGGTACTAAATCGACTGTTTTCTCTTATAATTTAGAAGTGTTTGTCTTGCTGTATTTTCTTACTTTCATGAAACTGAAAAGATCATTTTTTCAATGCAATTGCTATGCTAAGAGAATCTCATAAGCACCTGAACAAACTGAAATGTCGTAAGTACAAAAAAAATAGATTTAGAATAAATTAAAATACAATAATGAATAAAATGTTCATATCAATGTGTGGGGTACATCAAGAATAATCTGAATGGGACTCGTATGAATCGGTCTGGCAAGGGGACACCACCTCTTGCTCCAAAAACTCCAACACCAGTTGCATTGAAGGCCTTTCTTCTGGATTTGCATCGGTGCATCTTGCTGCAATTTCTATGACAGCTTCTACTGTCTCTATGTCTGCATCCGCGCATCTGCTGTCTATCACAGCTTCAAGCCGGTTCTCCTTTTGTAAGGTATTCATCTGCATAATGTTCATTGTGTCAGCGGCTATAACAATCAGTGCTCTAACAATGCTAGGTGGTAGTGCCTAGGTCTAAGCCACTTGGTCATACCTGACTTGGGTTTGTTCAATTTCAAACTCGAGCAAATACAGCTATTTCAAGCTCAAGCTTACACAGATTTGAGCTCAGCATGGCTCATTTGCTATACATGCATAATATGTGATGTGATGATGTTTGGAAAATACCCAGCCAACAACATTCAGGCCTCGCTTTACAAACGCAGGATCGGTAGGTCGCTTTCCTGTAACAAGCTCTAATAGGAGAACACCAAAGCTGTAGACATCAGACTTTTCAGTGGCTCTTCCACTCTGCAAGTATTCTGTTAACAGAAAAAACAATGTTGGTTGTTACCCTTGCACCAATATAGTTCTTGAATCTTGAATCAGGTTTTCTTGGTCAAAATTAGCAAAATGTACGTAACACACCTGGAGCCAAGTAACCAAAGGTTCCTGCAACCACAGTTGTGACATGATCATTCTCATCTACTAAAAGCTTGGCTAGACCAAAGTCCGCAAGTTTAGGCTCTAGGTTCTCATCAAGGAGTATGTTGCTTGATTTTATATCACAGTGAACTATTCTAGGATTGCAATCATGGTGCAGGTACGCCAATCCTCTAGCAGAACCATGAGCTATTCTTAAACGCGTGCTCCAATTTAATGACAGCTCTTCATCCAAATCTCGAGGAGGTTGACCTACAAATAAACCAATAAATACATAAATAGATATTGTTAGTCCGGCAAGAGAAAATGAGGAGTTGATAAGACATTAAGTAGAACTAGTTAATAGATTGAATTCAATCTTAGAGTGTGACTCTAAGTGTCTTATCCCAATCGGATGACCTCAACTTAATCTTGATATTTATCTGTACATAGTCTGCTGAAGCCCAATTACGTAGATGATTGAGTTTATAGGGGAGTCAGTTTCAGGGGGATTCAAATGACAAGTAAACAATTGGTTAGATTCAAAATGGCACAACTTTCAACTTGAGGAGTAGCGTAGAGTCAGGGGTCAGTTTCAGTTAGGAATCTAACTACAAGTTAACTCAATTTGTTAGGTTCAAAATGGTACAATTAGTGTTAGAGTCCGACATTGGACAGGAGAATGATGAGTTAATAAAATCTTAGGTTGATATAGCTAATACAGAGTATATTAGGATAGATTTAATATTTTCGCTGTGGTTTGACCCAAAAACATTGAAATGCCAAATAAGCGTAATCGGTTTGACATTATAAAACTGATTTGTGATTTTGTGATATAAGCTAAAGTCTTTCATTCATATCATCTCCACCAAGAATCCCACTTTCAGAAATAGAAAGAGGAAGGGGTTGCATACCATGCAGCAAGTCATCCAAGCTTCCCATAGCCAAGAAATCATAGATCAGAAGCTTTGCACCGGGAAGACTGCAGTAGCCTCTGAGGTTGACCAAATTTATGTGTTTGATGCTGCCCAAGACCTCCAGCTCCCTCTCAAAGACTTGATCACAGCCTTGGCGATTACGGTCAATTCGTTTAACGGCAAATGTGCCACAATCATTCATAACCATTCGATAGACTGTACCGAATCCTCCAGCACCTACAATGTGTTCATCTAGTGATTCAATCTTTTTGATTAGCTCGCATGAAGGGTATGGAAGATCACCATGAAATGTAATAAGCTTGGCACCTGTAAAATATTCAGGGTTAGTTAAAGAAGAATACAATTATACAACATTCACAAATGCGGAAAGAGCAGAAAACATCAGCAGTGCTCCATCTCACATGGTTCTTGAGTAGCTTGTTTTTGGACTTCTGTGTATTTTTTTGCTTTCCTTTCCTTCTTTGAAGCTGACCAAACCCATAGGGAAACAAGGAGGACAACCAGTACAAGGCCTAAAGTAGACATTGCACCGATTACCACTGCTCTCATGTAATGATATGGTTTCTTAACTGAAACTGCATAAATCAATCCAATTCAGAAGGTATTAATACACCTTAAATCAAAGACTAGGATTAGGATTAGGTATAGTTGAAAAACTCATCTCAAATTGGCTAAATACAAAATAACAAACCAATACATACTTTGGTTTAACTCTTTCCTATTAAGGTTGACATTTTAGGATGAAAACACACATCTTCATATGATATCAAAGTTAACCTGATCCGTAGTCATTCTGTGGTCTCCAATGAAAAACTATGTGGTTTAGACAAACTGACGAAGTGTATAGCCATGAGAGTATGTGCACTTAAAAAAATACGTGTTTCAAACTAGTGATTTGGGGATTGTGAATTTTTCTAGGATGGAACATCAAATCCTTATAAAGGTTCAAAAAACACAAAGATTGCAATTTTTCACTAGATTATTACCTAATGCTTCATTACTTTCTGCATGAGGGAAAACTGCAGGGAATCCCATTGAGGTTTTGCATGGCTTGTTCACTTGTTGGCCACACAGATCTACGTTCCCAATGAACCTAAGCACCATAAACCTTATTAGGACAACCATCTAAGATATTACACAAAGTATATTGAACCAACTGCTTGTGGAATTCCTTATGAAGTTATTACATAAATGTGAATATTTTCGAAAATCTGGTTTCACCCTATTTATTCCTTTTCACCTGATTGTTTTAATAAATTAAGCTTATTCATTCTGCACTAAATAAATGCACTGCATGTCATTTTCAAGTTAAAAACAGCATTGTTACGAGGCATTGTTTTATTAATTTTCACTTCATTTGTAGGGAACTTCTTAATGAAACAACGATTCAATCTGATAAGTCAATTGATGATTAAAAACAATACAGAGAAAAAGAGGGGTTTTTTGCTTAAAATAAAGACATTCTTTCTTTGTTATTAAGAAAATTAAGTTTCAGTATATTTTTAGACAATTCAACCATACTAGTCACAATCTCAACAATTAAGTGTTACCACACTATTAAAGACGTTAGGATTTCAGTGTATTGTATAAGATCTAGAATGGAAGCTGTGATATTCCTTTTGGTTTAATAAAATATTAAAGGAAAAAAGGTATGCCATGAAGACATAAGAGGACTTACGATTTGCTTCTGAAAGTGCTAAGAATTCCAATATCTGGGATCTCGCCCGAGAAGAAATTTGAAGACAAATTGCTGAAGTTTTTTGCAGAATAGATATTACTACAGAGGCGCATGTTTTCTTCACAGAACACTATGAATAAAAATCAAAAGCATATGGTAATTTATCCTTCTTACAAATGACGAAGAAGTTTCAGTTTCCCAATTGAAGAAGGTATAGCACCCCTGAGAGCGTTGCTCGATAAATCCCTATATATAATACATTAAATCAAACCATGATGAGGGAATCATCAATACGGTTTGCATGGACGACTAACAGTAAAGATATATCTTACAGTATGTTCAGCATTGATAGGTTCCCAATATCTGAAGGTATGCCTCCTTGAAGATAGTTAGACCTAAGGTACCTACACACACAAAAGTTTATTCCAGCCACTATCAAAACTTTGCCGTTGTAATCTCACATTACCCCTCAGAAGTGAAAATAGGGGTTTTGGCAATTACACTGGTCTTAGTTCAGTACAACGACCAATCTCGATTGGAAATACGCCATGTAAGCTGTTCTGGTGGAGCGCCCTGGTTTTAAACAGGACAAATTAAACACTTCCTGGCCCAAAAATTGCATCTTTGAATATATTTCATCCCCCCCCCCCCCCCCCCCGATGAGGTTTAAGCTTTAATAGTAAATTCCGAAATGTTAACATTAATGCACTTACAGTCTTCTTAATATGGAAAGTTTACCAATGCTGGGGGATATGAACCCACTAAGTTGCATATAAGGTAAGTTGCTGCAATTCCCATGAAAATACTATAGCTAGTTTATACCAATAAAGACAGAGTGGGGGGGGGGGACTATTGCTTACTTTTCAGACTGCCATTTCTTTTGTACGGAGAATCTTTCTATTGTAGTTTGGTAGAATAGTCCACCGTCACTTCATACTGGGAGCTCTCTTATTAAAGAGGAAGATCATGAGCATGAGCATGTTCTTAGTGAAGAACTTCAAATATGCAAATGGCTAGATTCACTTCACGATGTAGTGAAAAAGAATGAAGTCAAAGATTTGAAAGATAAGTTTCACAAGCCAGTGATGAATTTCTTAAATACGATTCAAGTAACTTCTGACTAACCTTGATTCTTTTTATCTACTAAAAACGTTTGATTTACTTATCCAATTTTATGTAATATTGTAGTCTGGTGTGGACCAAAACAAAGAGTGGGAAGAATCATTGGATGAACTATCCAATAAATTGAAACACAAGAAGTTTTTCTTAGAATCAGAGTGAGTGCAGCTTTCTACTTTAAAGTTAAAATTATATACATATGTATGTTTTGTTTCCGATCTTGGTGAACTGTTGCTTCAATGATTGTCTCATGTAGGACGAAGTGCTATCTAACGAGTATGGATGTGCTTTTTACCGTATGAGGTTTGATTATACTGAGGACAATGGTAATTAATTTTGTTTATGTGTATGATAAATAATTTTTTCTTTCCAACATGCACATTTTCCTGACATGTGTTTTTCATCAAAATAGGATAAGTCCTCTTTGGCATACACCGCACTGGCGAGAAGGACCAATCTGTATGCGGTTATTGATGTATTCTGGCACACATTCTTACAGCAGTTACCACGTACGTATTTGGTTTTGGTGAAATTATTTTATATGATGCATTGATTTTTTTGTTCTTTTCATGGATACTTTTGTTTAATTTAACCTCCATAAAACATTTTTCTTATTTAATGAAACATAAATTTCATTAGCTTAACCAAGCATACCGGTTCAAAGTGGCTTAAAGACAAGCATTGAAACCGAGACCAAGGATTTAGGCTAGTGTGTGAAACCCAGCTAGTCAATGCATCAGATCACTGTAGCTCCTAGTACTGTTTCATTTTTGGAGCTTGCCTGTTAATCACTGAAAGATTTTGAGACCACTCATTCCACTCCGATTTCTTGAAAACTGTTTCTTTTCTGTTGAGTTGAAGGATAAAATCTAAGTGCCCTCTCTTGATTGCCTATACCATTAAAAATCTTAGGAGTTCACCATAGAAAACTTTTTCACAGGTTATTTGTTCATAGTTGAAGCATATATTAGCCCCATTTTGAATCTGTTAATCTCTGTTAATGACAGTGTTGGATAATCCTCTTCTCTTGAATTCTTCACTTCAACATTACCCTTTTTTTTTGCATTGGAGGAATATCTAAATTATGAGCATTTTCCAATAGCATTGAACCCCTCTTGATGTTATCAATGTTTATGACAATATCATTCGCTTCCTGATTGCCATGTAATCTCATAATAATGACTAAAACACACACAAATGCAGTAGAGTTCTCATCAAAATGCATTAAAACACTAATAAAAGATCAAGGAGATCCAAATAGGTAAAGTAGAGGGTTCAAAATCAACTAATCCTAAAATCAAATGTTTTATCTTCAAAACATATCTCTGTATTCTATCTTAAAACATATACCCGCCAATTAAGACCATCTGTATAGTTATACCTCCAAATTTTATTTAGTTACTTCAATTTGCTTGTCCAAAATATTGAAAATTTAGGCATGCAAATAAAACATTATAAATGACGTGCTTATCTTTAGTACATCACATTCTTCTAATAAACTCCCCTTTTTAGAGATCATTGATTTCAGCAGCGCTTTAAGTCCTTTCCGATCTAAGGAGGAATTCTTGTTACACTTCAACCTGGGTGATGATAACAAAATAGCAGGGGGAGGCTCCTCTATACTCTACCGTGCCCAAATCACTCAAGATAATATATTAAGACTGCCCGAAGGTCAATATGCATTCAAAGTTTTTCGTTCCACTAATGCGCCAGCAACATATTCTGTAAGTTAAATCTTTGGTTGGACTTTTGGTTCATAATAATTATTAAAGTATATAGCACTCTTAAACTCCAACTGTTTTTATTTCATATTGATTTATTAGATGGAGTGCTACTGCCTTGAGATAATGAGGAGTGATGGGGTTATCAAACTTGTTGGCTATGGAAGCACAAAGGTTATGTCTTGTATTGTGGTACCCTATGCAGTTGGTGGAAACCTTTCCCGAAAAATACAAGGTACACATTTGAATTGTTTTAAAACTTGAACTGAAATATGCTTTGTATGTCTTATATATAAAAGGCTAGACAAATACAATATATTTATTTATACTTTCAAATCATAAATGGTGGGCCAAATTCATCTGTGCTAGTGTTAAGGTTGGAGCAGTTCTCTAAAAGAGTAGCATACACATCAAATGCACCAAGCTTGAAACTATGTCATATTCCAGGATCTCTGAATGACTTTGTGATTAACGTATTTAACGGTGTTCATGGGTCCGATCATTAGTTTTGTGCTTAAATACACATTTATTTCATTTAAATACAAAATATTCATATATGTGTGTACTTTGTTTTATGTCCAAACGAGTCTGATATTGAACCAGGCCAGAAATTTAAAATCTAAACCTGTAAAAAATCATAAAAAATCTAAACCTATAACAATAAGAAAAAACTAGAATATCTTATTGTTACAGGTTTAGATTTTAAATTTCTGGCCTGGTTCAAGATCAGACTCGTTTGGACATAAAACAAAGTACGCACATATATGAATATTTTGTATTTAAATGAAATAAATGTGTATTTAAGCACAAAACTAATGATCGGACCCATGAACACCGTTAAATACGTTAATCACAAAGTCATTCAGAGATCCTGGAATATGACATAGTTTCAAGCTTGGTGCATTTGATGTGTATGCTACTCTTTTAGAGAACTGCTCCAACCTTAACACTAGCACAGATGAATTTGGCCCACCATTTATGATTTGAAAGTATAAATAAATATACTGTATTTGTCTAGCCTTTTATATATAAGACATACAAAGCATATTTCAGTTCAAGTTTTAAAACAATTCAAATGTGTACCTTGTATTTTTCGGGAAAGGTTTCCACCAACTGCATAGGGTACCACAATACAAGACATAACCTTTGTGCTTCCATAGCCAACAAGTTTGATAACCCCATCACTCCTCATTATCTCAAGGCAGTAGCACTCCATCTAATAGATCAATATGAAATAAAAACAGTTGGAGTTTAAGAGTGCTATATACTTTAATAATTATTATGAACCAAAAGTCCAACCAAAGATTTAACTTACAGAATATGTTGCTGGCGCATTAGTGGAACGAAAAACTTTGAATGCATATTGACCTTCGGGCAGTCTTAATATATTATCTTGAGTGATTTGGGCACGGTAGAGTATAGAGGAGCCTCCCCCTGCTATTTTGTTATCATCACCCAAGTTGAAGTGTAACAAGAATTCCTCCTTAGATCGGAAAGGACTTAAAGCGCTGCTGAAATCAATGATCTCTAAAAAGGGGAGTTTATTAGAAGAATGTGATGTACTAAAGATAAGCACGTCATTTATAATGTTTTATTTGCATGCCTAAATTTTCAATATTTTGGACAAGCAAATTGAAGTAACTAAATAAAATTTGGAGGTATAACTATACAGATGGTCTTAATTGGCGGGTATATGTTTTAAGATAGAATACAGAGATATGTTTTGAAGATAAAACATTTGATTTTAGGATTAGTTGATTTTGAACCCTCTACTTTACCTATTTGGATCTCCTTGATCTTTTATTAGTGTTTTAATGCATTTTGATGAGAACTCTACTGCATTTGTGTGTGTTTTAGTCATTATTATGAGATTACATGGCAATCAGGAAGCGAATGATATTGTCATAAACATTGATAACATCAAGAGGGGTTCAATGCTATTGGAAAATGCTCATAATTTAGATATTCCTCCAATGCAAAAAAAAGGGTAATGTTGAAGTGAAGAATTCAAGAGAAGAGGATTATCCAACACTGTCATTAACAGAGATTAACAAATTCAAAATGGGGCTAATATATGCTTCAACTATGAACAAATAACCTGTGAAAAAGTTTTCTATGGTGAACTCCTAAGATTTTTAATGGTATAGGCAATCAAGAGAGGGCACTTAGATTTTATCCTTCAACTCAACAGAAAAGAAACAGTTTTCAAGAAATCGGAGTGGAATGAGTGGTCTCAAAATCTTTCAGTGATTAACAGGCAAGCTCCAAAAATGAAACAGTACTAGGAGCTACAGTGATCTGATGCATTGACTAGCTGGGTTTCACACACTAGCCTAAATCCTTGGTCTCGGTTTCAATGCTTGTCTTTAAGCCACTTTGAACCGGTATGCTTGGTTAAGCTAATGAAATTTATGTTTCATTAAATAAGAAAAATGTTTTATGGAGGTTAAATTAAACAAAAGTATCCATGAAAAGAACAAAAAAAATCAATGCATCATATAAAATAATTTCACCAAAACCAAATACGTACGTGGTAACTGCTGTAAGAATGTGTGCCAGAATACATCAATAACCGCATACAGATTGGTCCTTCTCGCCAGTGCGGTGTATGCCAAAGAGGACTTATCCTATTTTGATGAAAAACACATGTCAGGAAAATGTGCATGTTGGAAAGAAAAAATTATTTATCATACACATAAACAAAATTAATTACCATTGTCCTCAGTATAATCAAACCTCCTACGGTAAAAAGCACATCCATACTCGTTGGATAGCATTTCGTCCTACATGAGACAATCATTGAAGCAACAGTTCACCAAGATCGGAAACAAAACATACATATGTATATAATTTTAACTTTTAAGTAGAAAGCTGCACTCACTCTGATTCTAAGAAAAACTTCTTGTGTTTCAATTCATTGGATAGTTCATCCAATGATTCTTCCCACTCTTTGTTTTGGTCCACACCAGACTACAATATTAAATAAAATTGGATAAGTAAATCAAACGTTTTTAGTAGATGAAAAGAATCAAGGTTAGTCAGAAGTTACTTGAATCGTATTTAAGAAATTCATCACTGGCTTGTGAAACTTATCTTTCAAATCTTTGACTTCATTCTTTTTCACTACATCGTGAAGTGAATCTAGCCATTTGCATATTTGAAGTTCTTCACTAAGAACATGCTCATGCTCATGATCTTCCTCTTTAATAAGAGAGCTCCCAGTATGAAGTGACGGTGGACTATTGCTTACTTCAAGCGTAATGTTGATTCTCCGTACAGTAGAACGTACAGTAAAAACTGAAGAGTAAATTAAATAATTGCAATTATACTACATAGAAAGATAATTGCACAAACAGGACTAAAATCTAAACCTTTCACAAACAGGGCTAAACATTAATTTTCTACCATTCATACCCCCGATCTAAATAATTAATTGCCTCCCCTAGTTCTCTTGGGCAACCGGGGCAGTCCAGTGGTGGTGGCAGAGACGACCGACGGCGGCGGAGGATATCCGGAAACTGGCAGCCACAGACGGACTGTGGCAACAAAACTGGAATTCTTTTTTGGCCCAGCTGGAGCTACGGCGGCGACAGCGGCGGCTGGAATTTGGGCGGCGGCCAGGTTCCGACGGTGGCAGGTCGCAGGGGTGGCAGTGTCAGGTGGTGGCAGGGGACATTTTTGTCCAATTACAAAAAAAAACTCCTATTTTGGCAATTTTAAAACTACTACTTTTATATGTGATTTTTTACACTATTTTAGTCCTATTTAGGTAATTCACTCATTAAATAATCTCATACCATAAGTTGGCTATTTGCTCCTCACAAATTACTTGTTTGAAAAACTTTTATTAAATAAATAAAATCTTGGTTTATTTATTAACACAAGATCAAAGGCAACACTTAAATACATAATAAAATTTTAAAATGGAATGAATCAAATGTTTCAAAGTGTCATGCAGGAATTATGGAAGTAACATATCACACTTAAATTTATTACCCTGGGCAAGTTTGCTTGCAACATAGTACACTAAGCTCAGACGATCATTAGTTGGCAGCCCACCGAGTTCATTTTCTAACCCTACTGCTTGTTTAAGAGTTAGAAGATAGTTTTGACCTTGGTGCTGACCCACATTCTGGTTGGGTTCCATTGAAACCTATGAAAATTCAGAGACACAAACCAATGATATGTATAACTGTTGAAGACTACAAGTGGGGTTGGGGGTAATTCCAGGGAGAGCAGAAACAACAAGACAACTGCATATCATACTTAGGGAACTGATGCATGTATCACTTCAAAATAGATTGATACTACAAAGGAAATCTTGCAAAAATATCATCCAAGTACCCAAATTAATGATCATTGACAATCAAATTGCTCTGCTAATACCAAGTGCCAGCATATATTGACATGAACAATATTGTCATTAGCACCTACACTAGAGCAAAATGAAACTTCTGCGATTATGCTCACACAGGAAACAGATATTGTCAAGTTCTCATTAGACACGTCTTCAAAATAAATTAAACAAATAAAACTAGCCAAGAAAGCGACATACTACCCAGAGAAACAATATGTGTGCTTGGACTACTAGGAATGTTGAGTGGCACGGAACAACAGAGAACAGATACATGAAATCAATTGTAATACCTCAATAAGATATAATAGGATTAAAATTGCTAATTAAAAAACCACTATAACTTCATGAGGGACAAAGATAATAGAAGTAGCAAATACTTTCCAAAACAGACACACACAATCTACATTCGTACCCCTCTCTGTGTATATCCACTGCAGTAAATGTCACATG